TCCGCCAAAGATGGATGGGGAAGACCACGGGCTGTATATAGTGGAGCTTTAAAGTTCTCACCCCAGTTGCAGGAAGCGAGGAGGCCTTGACGACGAAGCTAAGGTCAGTGCTGCTGAGACAGACGGAGATGATCTGTTAAGAACTGCTGGTCCTTCTTTGCATCAGTAGGGCCGAGTAAATCATTCTATCATCTTCAGAGGTCGTGGTTACTTAAATCTGGTGATAAGTGTCTCATTTATTGTTCTAGATCTATTTAGACCAAAGAACATACTCGCCATGGTTTCTATCTGAACCAATTTTCGATCATCAATCTTGTAGTACTTGTTCTTGGCATCGGAGATCAGCTTGTAGTTCTCATCGATGTCTTGCTTTGAAGAAGGGTCCATATTATGCGGAGAACTTCTTGGCGCGGAAAGTTTGGCAGATGTGGTGTTTGAACCTTCGTGGCTTTGTTGAATGCTGTATCTAGGTTCTGTGGTACCGCTAATCGGTCGATTGGGGTAGTGTAATAGCATCTGCATCGCCTTCTTTCATCAGATAAGTCTGCTCGAATTGCCACTCTTGGAAGGTGATGAGAGATCTAGATTATTGACCATCCAATATCTTATCTCTGCATCTGAGAAAATAATTCCTCCATCATCTTCCATTCCATCATCATAAATGAGAGGTTGTTGCTCTTCTGATGTAGGACTGTGTGGCTCTATCTCTATATCGCTTTGACGCTTGTGGAGATCTAGTTGTAGGCTTATGTGCAGACCTGTGAGGTGATCGACGTGGTGATGTACGTGGAGATCGGGCGCAGGATCGGCGAGGCGATCGCCTTGGTGATCTACATCGATAGGTTGATCTTCTTGGCGACCTATGAGGGGACCGCTGGTAGCTTCGCAAGCTCTTTGTGTAGTCCCTCGATGTCCTTTTAGATGATGATGACGATCTGGGTTCAGGTGTCTTCGCGAACGCCTTAAGCTTCCTCTGCGTCCGTCCTGGGGAACGGTGATATGACCTTCGCCAAGGCTTCCCGCGGAGGTCTGATGATCAGATTCCGTGATCTGAGTATGACGCTGAAGAGGGTGATGATCTTTTTCCGCCGCCGAAGGCCTTCAAGGCTGTACATCTGGGTCCTTCGTGGAGGTGGTCTGTGACTTCCTTCGCGAAGGCGCATCGCCGTGGCTGCTACGCTGACTGGGGGTGCCTCTGGGGTGCTGTTCACGCTGGAGCCTTCGCCAAGGCTCGACCCTGGGATGGCTGCTTCTCCAGTCTGTAGTGGCCTTCCATCATGATCATGATCTGCTTCATTAGATCGCCTGGGATGATCTGCGCGCGTAGTAGATGGTGCCCTCTCTGCGCTGATAGCGGTGGGGCCCTCAGCGATCTCGCCTGACATCAGTGTAGAGGCATCAGGCTGCATGGTGATCTCTGCTGAAGTCACTGTCGCTGTCACTGGTCGCTTCTTGTGGTATATATGTCGGGTATGATGATTGGTTGATCATCGTAGAGGCCCAATTCTGCTGCTGGAACGATCTCTGCTGAGAAAGTTCTCGATGACTTCGTGAGATTTCCCTTTGGAGGATGACGCTGCCCTGGGGTAAACGAAGTCTGCGTTGAGAAGACGCTGAGGCCCTCTTGGACTTTATCTGCGATGACGGGATGTCTGGGGAGGCCGGTCGCTTCTTAGAGGTGACGGACTGCATCCCACGCCCCTCTTCCGATGGGGTCTCAAGCAGAACACCAGACGGGAGGGGATCGCTTCGACAGCAGCTGACTGGATGGGAAACTGGATGTATCGGCCATGTCTACACCTAGTTTGCGTGACCTATCTGCAACACGCCTCAAGACGCAAAGATGGTATTTATTAAAGGCAGAATTGGTTAAATTAATGCAGTAACTGCAACGTGAATCAAACGCACAAGGCATGAAAGTACAACTAGGGCATACTACATGGATCCGCAGCGAAAACGTAATCTACAAATAGTACAGTTTTTCATCAACGTAATACTAGCTGAACAATCACTTAACTCACGTGAATAAACAGTAGAAATAACGATTAATTATCAATGCAAATTAATGAAGGATACTAGCTATACCTTTATAGTAAACTATAAGAGGTAACTAACTAAGAAAACCAAAGGATATAGTGTGTAAGGAGACACAGGCGCTCTCACATCCTGCTCACTGGGCGAAGAAGGAGAGAGTGAAGCATGAGGCCAGAGCGTGGCGACACCTGTTCCCGCGCTTGCGGCAGGGGAGGCAACTCTTGGGTGAGTACCAATTAGTGATTTTACATTGAAGGGAGCTTCAATTAAGGAGATACAAGTGTTCCACTATGTTCGCAAGAGGAAGGGGACAAGCAAAAGAGCATGAGTCAGGATAAGGAAAAATACAGCCTATTGCTTAATACAAACTTGATTCTTATTTCTCTTTACAAGTCACATGTATCTGTTTCATATAATGCTTAACTGTCATATTTTCTTGCATCATAGGTTAAACAGTAACATACCTCACAGGCTGCAATATTCACCAAATGTGAAGCCTCAACTGCTATCTTGGAGAATACTGTCATTCTCTGAACATCACTCAAGAAGGGCAAGTCTTTGAAACGGGGATCCATGGCAGCTGCGTTGTGGAGAAGGGACACATCTACGTCACTTTGGTAACGATGGTTAAGATCCTCGTGCATGGCTCTCTTCATCTCCCTTATCGTGCGTGAATCTGTATCATCACAGTTGGCTGGTGCTGTGCTCTTTAGTAGACTACTGTACAAGGGATAGACCACAGAGAGAGTTGGTTGCTGCTCATCACACATCACTGTAGTGGCAGTCTTCATTGGTTTCATCACCTGAAAATATAACAAACTCAGAAAATATAAAAATTGGCTAGCATGAAACACGAATGAATTATATTTAAAGTAATACTGATATAATTATATTTGAAGTGTTTAGGTCGTTTGAGCAGATACTTGGTATGTGGATGGTCTAAAGCATATTATAAGATGTATAACCCCTGATATGTTTTCAAGATAATTTGCAATGCTCTTATTTGTTTTCATTTATCATTACTTTTTGATAACAGATTTTATATGTTTTGGACTACTGTTTGATTTTAAGCCGATTCTGTTTTGATAAACAATCAAACTCATAGTATAGGTTTTAATTAATGAAATTCAAATCTTTTAAAATTGATCAAATATATTTAAGTAAAATGTTTTCAACATTATCATGATATCCAGGAATTTGAAGATTAATATTCACAGAAAAGTTACAGTTCAGATTTATCAAGAATCTACAGATAACATACCTAAACAGTAGACACTAAGAAACGAATGAATGATAAATTAAGTTCTAGTTTTTAATAATTTTAAATGAACATACCTGCACAATATCTTCGGCTATTGACATGTCTACTTCATTGAGGCTCGTTGGTAGATGTGTATCACCAGTTTTCCTAAAATCCTTCATCAGGAGTGGTGCTTGAATCGCTGGCTGTTGCTCAAGGTATCTGTCTACCATTTCGTAAGAACTGTTCCACCTTGCAACATCATTTTTCAATTTATGTCTTGGAAGGTTCAGAAGTACTTGCTTTTCTTTCAAAATAGCAAAGGCTTTCGGGCTTTTGTGAAAGTAACTCACTATCCGCCTGATAATGCCAAGGACCCGGCTGGCTGTAGACACTTTCAGAGCCTTCTGGGAGGCGAGATTGAGGGTATGGGCAAAACACTTAACGTGTGTCAAATTTGTTTCCCTCACCATAACTACCATGTTCGAAGCGTTGTCAGTAGTCACAGCAGCGACTTTGTTGGGAGGAATGTGCCATTCTTCTAGGACATTGTAGACAAGTTTGGCCAAATTTGCACCTGTGTGACTGTTGGCCATTGTTCGTGTTTGGAGGACAGAATTGTGTAATTGCCATTCCTTATCAAGGAAATGTACTGTGAAAGTAACAAATGATTCATTTGATCTCGACATCCAGCCATCAGTTGTTATCCCAACAAACATGGCACCATCCATCAGTGTGATAAGGGCTGTTTCTACGTCCTCATAAAGAGCTGGCACAACATTTTCAGAGAAATGTTGCCGTCAGGGGAGTTTATATTTTGGTTCCAAAGTTCTGATCAAATGAAGAAAACCTTCATCTTCAACAACAGAATACGGCCGTAGATCTTTGATTATGAACTTGGCAATTGCGTCCATAATGTTGGTGGTTTGTGGTACATCAAGTTTCTTATTCACACTTGAGAAGGACGTTTTTAATGTTGATTGAATGGTACCTGCTTTTGATTTACACGATGCGTTAGCACGAACATTTGGAATTTCTAAACTTTTCACAGCGTCGGGATGGTGTCTAACAAGATGAGAGTGAAGATTTGTTGTATTTCCGCTGTATTTCAGGTGAGACTTACAGATCTTGCATACAACGTGCTTTCTGTCGGTAGTAATCTTTCCATCTTCAGATTTCTTACCCGCAAACCCAAACCTCGACCAAATTCGAGCTTTGAATATAGCCGGTGGATCGACTATTTCTATCGTGTCGTCTGTCATCTTCGGGCCGGGCTTTTTGTGCGCATGTCTCCGAGTCAATAAACGGACCGAGTCGGAAAATCACGATTGATATTCAATTTAGAGTTACCTCCCTTGCACCAAAATGAGCTCAGTCGCTAACATTCCATCTGGTAGGCGTTCTCTCTCTCTATTTTTTTAATAGGTTTCTTGGTAGTTTATGTTAGTATCGGGATATATCGTCTCTTGTGGCGATACATTGATGTATCATAGACCCTTGCGATATAAATATCCTGATATATTGCCTAAATGTGTTTTGTATCGATGCACACGTATCGCTTAGTTGACGATGCAAACATCGATACTATCGATGAATCATTACACCACTAGTTATGACTGGTACATATGACTTCTGAAAACTGCATCTCCAAACTCAAAGTTGATACACTTATTCAATCTAAACCAGCAGAATGCACTGAGGTCAACAGCTGTTTGTCTATACTCACCAGCACACTCATCTTAGGCTTCTTGCCTATCTTGTTGAGGAGCCCTCCCAGGCCCCCAGCCCCTGCAGCTGGCCTTTTCACACCACTGTTGACAGAAAGCCAATCCATCTACACACACAGCTACACAGACTAGCCTGTTTCTACATGGTCTCATCTATATACACTATACATGAAGTAGCTCACCTTCACCTACCAGTTTCAAATAGTAATACAGATCGCCGTCATTTAAGTTGATGTTTAACAAAATCAAAAGAATCATGTAATTTCTGACTAAAATTGATATTTTATACTTATCCTGACTCATGCTAATTATGCTTGTCTCCTTCCTCTTGCAAATGATAGTGGAACACTTGAAATCCCTTGAAGTTAAAAAAGCGGACGTAAAATCACTCACCCAAGAGTAGCGTCCCTTTCCTCCCTTTGGCGCCCAAATGGTCACATGATCGGCCATATTTGTCACTCTCTCCGTATGTAAGCCCGACACCTGGATTTACAGGGAAATCAAGAGTGCCATAAGAGGGGAGGTTGGGAGGGCTAACCTCATGAGTCAGGATAAGTATAAAGTATCAATTTTAGTCAGAAAATTACATATTTTTCCTTATCCTGACTCATGCTAATTATGCTTGCAGAATCCGTCGGAAACGGTGGTGGGTCAAGCCACTTTCTGGATTCACTGGTTGTAGATTTACGTCCTGTACTACCCCCCTTGGGAATATATGACGGCACTGTTGAAGATTCTTTCAACTTCTCTCTGATGAGATTGGGGGACCACAACTTGTCAGATTTCTTCGGAAACTTCCCTTGGCATTTTCGTGTGGATTTTAGATATACTAATATTCCATTAGTTACCTATTGCAACTCCATCTCTTAATGCACGCTTCTTCTTCATGTACAAGTATGTCCTATACAAGTACAGGGTCTATCACTCATGCTAGTCTGTCCTAGACGTGTGCATGGACTTTTACCATTTGCTCTCCAGAGTGTTGGTTTTCACAAGTCACGTGATAAAAAGGGTGAGATTTTCTCAGCGCCTTTGTGGAACCGTTAGTTGTTGTGCTACAACAAGTGGCCCAAACTGGTGAATGCCTGAGACGTCTTCGGTGGCAATGTCTCTGAGGTAGTGGTTGGCAAACACCGTGTTCGAGCTCCAAAAGCAGCCCTCCATTATAGTTGTAATCGAGCAGTTTCCATGCAGAGCAAGTGTTGACGCCAGGGCTCTGACTTCATGTGGATTGGAGGCTCGTGGAGGCTCAAGTCCTGCTGCTTTATAGGCCCTTAGTATAACGGCTCTCATCCAGATCGACATCGTTGTCCGAGAGACTTCCGTGGGCGTCTCAGTGGATAAGGGGATGAATAGGCGCTTGAATTTTCGTCTCCTTACTTTGTCCTTTGTAGGTAGACTTTTAGTGCTGTGACAGGGCATAAGGATAGATCCTGTGTATCCTGTGGCCCAAGAACTGTAGATAGTGCTGGGATGTGGAACTGTCTGTCAGGCTGGCTGGGCAGTTGCTTCTTGACAATAAAATCCCATCTCAGTCCTAGATGTACGATGTCACGATGTGATGATTCATATCATGTTCGTTCAAAGTCCAGAGCATGTATTTCTGACATCCATTCTGCTGTTACTAGAGTGATCAGAAACAGCATTTTCTGAGTCAGTAGTTCAAAGGATGTCCGTTCTAAAGGCTCGTAGGCATCAATGGTGAGATGTTGTAGAACTATGCTGAGATCCCAGGCAGGAGCCTTGAATTTTTTTTGTTGGTCTTCCAACTTGAACGAGCATGTAGTGCCAGTATCTATGGTACTTTGGTCAGCTTGACACCCGTCTTCATGGTGATAACTGTGCTGAGAGCAGCCAAGTACGTTGAGATTGTTGAACCTTTTAAGTGTCTCGGCTGTCGCAGATGACACAGGTATTCCGCCACTTGAGGATGGGTTGCTTTACTGCTGTAAAGCCTTTTCTTGGTGCATACTGTTCAAATCTCTGCCACTTGTCGTCTTACAAGTTGCGAGCTGATCTGCGTAGAGTTAGTGCTACTGCTTTTGCTGCTCTGGCGGAGTACCCTCTAGTCTTCAGGAAAGCTTTTGATACGCCCCACGCGTGTAGCTGAAACAATGCCGGATTCCTGTGAGCTTGCTTGGTGTGTGGATGGACGAGCAGGTTCGACCACTCTGGTAGTTTCTGGGTTGGACTTCCGAGTTCTTGTATGAGGACGGGAAACCATACCCTCGCTGGCAAATAGGGCGCGCGACCAAAATCAGTTGCAGCGTTGTTGTCTGCTTGATTTTCTGTATTACTTGTGGTAGTAGTGCTGGAGGTGGAAACGCATAAGCGTTTAGTCCTTCACATGAGATGCTTAAAGCATCTGTTGCCCATGCCTGAGGATCCGGAATCGGAGAGACGAATGTTGGTAGTTGCTTGTTGAACTTTGTTGCAAACAGGTCTACCAGTGGAGATCCTATTGTCTGTATGACGAACCGGAACGCTTCTGGGTGTAACATCCACTCCGTCGGAGATGGTTGTAGTGGACGAGATAGGGCGTCTGCTATGACATTCTTTGCTCCTGGAATGTGGCATGCCTTCATGTAGATGTTCAGGTTGTCGACGATGCTGAACAGGAGAAAGCTGAGTTGTAGCAGACTGATTGATCTTGTTGATCCTTGTAGAATGCCACTGTGGAGTTGTCGGTGTGGACCATGAGTCTTGTGTTCTTTAGTACGCTGGACCAGTGTTGTAAAGCGTTGATTACTGCTTTCATCTCCAACAAGTTGATGACTCTGATCCTGACTCGACCACTTCCCTGCTGCCACTTCGTTGTCGAAGTGGGCACCCCAACCTTGTAGCGATGCATCTACGTAGAGATGAGTGTTGCAAACCGGCTCTGACAAAAAGGTTCCTCCGCAAACATTCGACTTCCGAGTCCACCATAGGAGTTATGGTTTCAGGCTGTCCGGTAGTATCAGCGGATCCAGACTGTCGAGATGGGCGTTCACAAATATTTGTAGTGGGCGCAGCTGTAGTCTCCCTCTGCGAGTCATGTCTTGAGCTGAGGTGAGTAGACCAAGCATGCTTTGCCATGCACGTAGTGTCAACGGAGAGAGCATTGCTTGAGATATCATATGTTGTATCTTGACCCAACGATCCTCTGGGACGACCGTGTGATCCTGTGGTGTGATGAGCCATATTCCCAGAAATTGAAGATCCTGTTTTGGTTCCAACTCCGATTAGGACATTACTAGCCATCTTCTGCAATCATATCCTACGATGTAGGTACGTGGATCTAGGAGCCCTTGCCATGTCCATCATGGAAGCGGAGAGATGATCGATTCTGGAATCATGGCTTGAAGCTTGTCTCATCAATCTTCTGGTAATATGTAATGAAGATGTTGTCACCAGAATCCGAAACAATGTGCAGCGATGATGCATAATACGTCATCACTAGATCAGCAAAAATGTATGATGTACTGGGACTGCCATCGATGTGAAGTCTATTTATAGCCGACCAGCTGCCACGAGCAGAAACCGTCTCACGCTTGTCGCTGCAAGTCCCAGATAACCAATATTAACTCTGCTGACAGGGGAAGTCCTCTATGACCCGTGAAGACAGTCGAACCATGCTGTACCCTGCTAACTGGACTGTAAATGGAGCCTTTCCCACGTTGAAAGAGTTGTTTACAACTGTAGACGACTTCCTGACACGTGACTGTGACGTCACCGGTGTTGCAGGTAAATGATCCTCGTAGAATCTTGTGCAGTTGTTGATTTCTTTGTCAACACTCGGCCTTGTCCGTAACCGGAGTTACACGAGTGAACACGTGTCTTGATGGCTGAGTGGAAGCGCGCGAAAACTTCGCTGCGTACTACCGATGTAAGCAGACTGTTCCCTGTCTGTTGTGACTGTATCCTTCAACTTTATAATCTTTACTGCAGTCGTCATCTTATAAAAATGTTCTGTAAAGTTGACCGTAACCGATGTCTCGCTGTGGCACTGTGACAATGCTGCAAACTGTCCCCTTGAAATTGTGTAAGCGCATGTGATGAAAATTCATCTTCAGTGTTTCATCGGATGTTATCTGACATCGTTACTTCAGGTGTGCGTCTCTTCCTTCAGCTACACGTTGATGCAAAATAGCCAACATCTAGTTGTAGTGTCCAGTCGCGTTATCTTCTTATCTTCCATCTTGAAGATCTATTACGGGATTCACTGATGATCTTGTAATCTCAAACCCTGATGTACCATGAAGGGCTCCGTATGATGAAGAGGAAATCTGCTATCGTTGAATGGCTGACTCTGATCATAATCCTCCCCATGAGTGCCTGCGCGCAGGTTGATGAAGGTCCAAGTTGGAAGATCTGTATCTGCGCAGTCTGTAGAATCCTGGAGAACGACTGGATCTACTTCTGTGTTAGAATCCTTCCTGCTGAGACGCTGAAACTGCGTGGAGGCTAAATCGTGGACTGCTAATGCTAAGCTGGCTTTCGTAGAATCCTCCAGGTTTCTAACTGCTGATACTTCTGACGGTAAAGATCTTCGCGAACGTAACCGTTCGTGCAGGCCTTCATCCGGGCGAGCTTGCATGGCTAATATTCCTTCGCGCAGGGCGACTGTCATCGGAGGGGTCTGCTATGCTGCAGCTGACGTTAGTAGAGGTTGCTGGTACTTGAGAGATCGGGTCGATCGGTGGAAAGGTGAGCGTGTCGAAATCATCGTTGGACATCTTGTAGGTAAACGCCTCATCTGCGTCCTTAGAAGGTAAGTCCAAGCCATTGGCGATCCAGGAGTTAACTTCAGTATCAGAGAATATGCCTTCACCTTCATCCTCTGATTTAGGCATCTCTCGCTCTATGGATGCACGACGACTTGAGTCTCTATAGGATGATCTGTAAGATGAGCTTTGCGCAGCTGATCGATCCTGATGCGATCTTGAATCCTTCCTGGAGGTTTGAGTTAATTCTCTAGGCCTTTGCGAAGGTGGGTTTCCTGGACGTATCTTCCTCTCTGTAGGAGTGTCTTCGCACAGGCTCTTGATGGGTGTCAGAGTCTGATGGAAATGACGACTCATATCTGCGACGTCTGTAGGGTTCGGGAGAACGCCTCGATTCCTTCCTGCGAGGACTTCTTAGCAGCACTCTCTGGGGCGTCTACTTCAGATGGGGAAGATTGTCGTGTCCGTGAGCCTTCGCGCAGGCTTCCCTCTTCATCCAGATGTGGTGGGGAGACTGTAGAGCCTTCACGCAGGCTAGTAGACGTTGTAGCGGTCTTCATAACAGCCTTCTCTTGAGCGATCGACGTTCCATCATCGACATCATCGATGTAAACTGTCTGTAAACTGTTGCATAAACAGTCCCAGGTTGAAGTTCTGCTTTGTCTGAAGAGACTGCTGCAGGGATGATGCATTTGATACTGAAGAGACGTCATCTAAGGCTCGCTGGACTCGCTGAAGAGTTGACGCTGATGCTATCTCTGGTACCTGATGTCTGCGTTGATAGCAGGTCTTCTGTCAATGTCTGCGCTGATACCAATGCTGATGTAGCTGTAGAAGCAGGTTTCGTCTTCTTACTGACGATGGTGACTTCAGGTATGAGGATGGGTGGATCATCATAAACATCTGCTTCTTCCGGAGGAACAATCTCGGCTGAGAAAGACCTCGTCTTCTGTGTAGAGCTGACCTTAGACTTCAGCTGAAGTCTTCATGGTAGTAGACTTCTTCTTCTGCGAAGATGAAGATTTGGCCTTCTTCATCTGCGATGAGATCAGCTCAGTAGACGATGATCTCTCATGGCCTCCGGCGTTCACCCCTGGTACATCGACCTGCTCCTGAGAAACGTTCAGCAATTCACTAGAATTATGAATATCTGCAGCAGTGGTTAACACACGGTTATCAGTGCAATCACTTGATTTAGACATGACTTGTGAATACCTACGTACCCAGTCCTTAGCACGTCTATGGATGAAAAAAACGTAATTATTAAATTCAACCGAATTTAAATTTACACAAGACTTACAGCGAGAGCTGAAAGAACATGAAACAGTGCAATTAGGACATAATAAATGAGGGTCAGCCGTAGACACTCGGTACCTACAACGAATACAAGTTTTCATCAAATGTAACCATGAAGAAAACACATGTCAAACAACGGAAAATTTAAATCAAATTTCCAACCGTAATGTAGAATATAATCCTAAAAACTGTATACAGCAATAATTTTGATGTAAGGTCCGAAAATATAAAAGGACATGTGCTGTATAAGGACCCAGGTGCTCTCACAACCGTCCTCAAGGGCGAAGAAGGAGAGAGTGACAAATATGTCCGATCATGTGACCATTTGGGCGCCAAAGGGAGGAAAGGGACGCTACTCTTGGGTATGTGATTTTACGTCCGCTTTTTTAAAGGGAACTTCAAGGGATTTCAAGTGTTCCACTATCATTTGCAAGAGGAAGGAGACAAGCATAATTAGCATGAGTCAGGATAAGGAAAAATTGAATGATTTCAACAAAACATGATGCAATCATAAAAAGCTACACACAATCTTTTGGTCAGATAAACAAAAAATGTCGATAATGTCCATAAGAAGTTTCATAAGCTTTGGTTCTCCTCTGTCCAAACTTGCATCAGGGATCAATTCTGCTATATCCAGGCTGCACCAGCACAAATAAAATATTGCTAGTGCAGGTTACTTTTATTATCAGGCTACACTCAGTGCATGGAACATTTTCCACAAGTGCATGGCAGCAGTTTATTGGTATAAAATTTCCATAAGAGATAAGTCTTTTCATATTATGTGTATTGGGTGAATCAATTACCAGAAGTAACAAATGTGAACAAAACTGCTTCATGCTCACAAATCAGTTACTAGACCACACTCTGTGTACATGATCTTGTGATATGTCAGTGGTCACTGTGTAATATGTCACTTGTAGGACAAGCTGATTTTGCCAACTGTGATCTAAGTGAAAAGGGTGATTTTTGAATGTCAGGTACAAAGCAACCATCTGTCAAACACTTCCTCCAGACATGCAGTATGGAGAGTTGTTCAGGAGAAAGTGAAGCTGCTCATGAATGTCTGTGGATAAGGAATCGTCTGCTATTGGTGACAGTGATATGGTAGACATTTGTCGATGTTTGTCTGTTTGTTGTTTAACACAGCACTCAGCAACATGCCAGCTATACTGTGAAAGGCTGTACCAGACAGTCAAGTGATCTATAGTGTAGGCATTGATCTACACATTTTGGATACGATGACATGTGTCAACCAAGTAATCGAGCTGACCACACGATCCCGATAGTCATCTATTACGACAAACGTGGGTTGCTGAAGACCAGCTCTAACCCGGATCTTCACGGGTATATTATTTCATGGTGCATCCTCTTGGATGCACCAGCTACAGGTAGTGAAAAATGATGAAACCGTATCCTGAGCATATACCAAGGCTACTAAATACACACTCTGTAATACTCTCCTGATACATACTGTGGACAAGCCTCCTGTAGTCAGTGGTGTACTCACATGCCAGATAACCCTGATGGCTTCTCCGACGTACTTGGTGTACTGCTCTTAGCTTCTGCAGATGAATTTTCTTGTTTCTTTATTTCTTCCTGAGCCTCTCTTGACGTGACATCAACCTCTTTGGTTACTCTGTGAAAGTTCAACCAGTCCCCTTTTTGGTTTGTCACGCAAAAGTAATGTATCAATATTCCTGTACTTTGACTCAAAAGTTATTCTACCAGTGACACCTGCAAACATTATATCTTTACTATAACTGTGGTAACTATCAGTTTGCTAAGTATGATGAGTGCTCCTTGTCCAGAATACTCTTTGCAGTTCTAACTGCAACAACTTCAACTGCATAATTAATCATTTAATGTGCATCAATAAACCTGTTATCATGGTTATCACTGCAATACATTTTACTCCATTGATTCACATTTTACATACTTGACCTCCTCTCCAGCAAAATCAAAAACCTTTGTGATGGTCATCTTTGTTGATGTTGTGATCCCAGATTCAGGTGTTGCCTGTGATGGTGACTGTTTGGGGTTGATGTTGGTTGGCTGAAACATAGTGTCTAATAAATATGTGCACCATTTCACTGTTAGGACTATTTTACCCACTGCTTCAACAAACATGGCTACAGCATCAAACATCACAGGGAAAGGATACCAAATCCCTTTATATGAGACAGCCTGTTTAGGGACCCACGTGTGCCCTATTCCTAACACTGAACAGTCAAGACTATAAATGTATCACAACAAAGACAAACGAAGATGTGTAATGTGCTGAACAGATTTGTGGACGATTCCATTCTGCATTGTGTCATTGTCTTAATCAGAACTGTCATACTGTTGTATTAGATTTCTTTGAATTAGTTATATAAGAATTGAGTACATACAGTTACGAATATTTCGCGATGCACAATACCACTTGCAATCAGTTGAAGTAACTTAAACAAGTACATATGGTAAGGTTTTGGGTTGTGGAATATGGACTCGTCTAACGTTTAGGGTACCAGGTACGTTTCTGTAGTTTGACTTTGTTTATTGTAAGTTTCTGTATACAGAAACGTATCTGGGATACATATCTGTAGTGCATGGGCCGACAATCCCTACAGCAGTATTGACATTCAACATTTCTTCAATACAGCATAATAAAGTGTCCTATTTTGACAAAGAGCAGTTTATCACTCTTTAATGTTTGCAGAGACAAGAGATTATATAGTCACAGAGATCTCTAATCACAACATCAACCATTGTGTTCTGTAAAGACTGCAGAGATTTACTCCTAACATTGGTCTACTGTTTTAGGTACACAGTGCAATCAGCAATACTCCGGCTATATGATGTAGTTTACTGCTCAAAACAACATTCTCTGTATATAAGTACACTAAATGTGGTCAAGTATCTGTGTGTTAAAATATCACAATGGTAATCAACATGAGGTGCAAACAGTCACCTTGACCATACTAGCCAGGACACCAAGTCCTGTGGAGGAAGTCTTTCTTGGTGGTGGCGTTTTCATGTCAGACATGAAGCTTGACCATAAGTCGTCTGCTCTCTTCTTCTCCTGTTTTTCCTTCTTTGCTTCCTTCTCCTTGGCAATCTCCTGCATCAGATCCCAGCTCTCTGGCTCTCCATGTGGGGGATCATCAGGCTCCTCCTCTCCATCCAGCTTGATGCCTCCTTGCCTCTTTCTAAACAAAGGCAGTCCCTCATGGTAAACACCCCCTAATTATGTCACATGAATATACCCATCTGAAGATCAAAATTACAAAATTGTATGGTTAGCCTTGGGATTCTCACAACAGTACAGTCCTTTCATAAATAAAATGATCACGTTAGTGTACTTGCTATACTTCACTACTGACAGGCTGTAACATGGAGTTAAAAAAATGCTATGAGGCTAATAAACTCTCCGTGCCTTGGGGGTTCAGACATAAGGGATGTTCTGTTGGTGCTGTAGGGGACATGCCCTCATAATATAGCTGCCTTGCTCAAGCTGCTAGCTACAGACAAATAATGCCAAAGATGTAACTTGAAATATCATAGAATGCATTGTTTTGTGCACTGACCGACATGTTGCAGAGCATATTTTACTGGAGGTTCTAAACATGCAACATAGTGGTAGATAATTTTTACTGCACCTTGGTGCTAGATCATTTTTCTTTTTTGATCTTTCTCTCCTTCCTCCAACTTTGCCATCTTGTTTCGCATCTTCATTTAGGGCATCAAGATCTTCCTCATCTCCTGACCCTTCCTCCTCACTCACTTCCTCTCCCACTGTAAACAACAACAGGTGCATCCAGTAACCTCTGGCTACATCTGTTTCGTGTGCCATCCTCACAACTGACATTATATTGGTATCACATTACAAGCTACAATTCTTATAAACATCTTGTTTCATCATGAGTGTGGTTATTTATTAGGGAACATATTTTAAGTTTTTTGTGTGAATTGAACATGAGCATATGATATTTATATTGACGAGCTATGACTGTTGGCCATGTTACTTGTGACAACAGACATGGGCCCCTATCAACAAAGCGTTTGTAGTTCTACAACATTCCTATGTTTATGACTGGTCGTAATCAGGTAATGTTACGAACGCCTTGTGGATCGATACAAGATAAGCTGATGTTCTTTGCTGCGATGGTAGTGTAGAATCCATATTCCGGTCAATTGACATTCCATGTTATACATTAATGCATGCCAAGTTTTAGTATACACCGAGCCTCGCTGTCGTCTCCCACATGGCCGCAACCAGAGCGAGCCATTATGTAACATGTCTGAAAGCATTAAACAAGATAGCACGACACTCATCGTTTGTACCAATCTTACATGGTGTCAGAAGCGGGATCATATTCCCAGGATTCATCAGGCGACATTTCGCAACGGATGAAGATTAGGACATTCTGTGAGTGTGACTGAAATTTCAAAGCCGGTCAGCGGCTTCGGGAAGTTACAATGGCGGACGGATTCAACCGCCAAAACCGCTTTCATTTGAAGGTGACATTGCCGAGAACTGGAGACAGTTTGAACAGGAGTTTGACATTTTCCTGGAAGCCGCGCATGGTGATAAGGATGACAAAACGCAGGCATATATCTTCTTGAACATTGCAGGAAAGGAAGCAATCGAAAGGGAAAAGTCTTTTACGCACGGGTTGGCAGAATCAAGGGGCAAGCCTACAAGTCCTCAAAGATAAGTTCAGCGAACTGTGTAAGCCACAGACAAACATTACGTTGGAGGCGCTTTTCGATTTTTTTCACTGAAATCAGAGCAGAGGTGAACATTTCCAAACTTTCTATACAGATTTAGTGAATAAGTCAAATTCATGCAATTTTGGCTCTCAAGGATGAAATGACCAGGGACAGAATAGTGTGTGGTGTAGATTCGGACAATCTAAGGAAATCTTTGCTGAAAGAAACTGCTTTAACTTTAGCTAAAGCTGTTACCATATGCACTCTCAACGAAATCAATGGAAAAGGGCCTACAAGAACTCACAAACAAATCAACAGCAGAGGTACATGCTATACACGGTGCTAGAAATGAAAGAAGAAAACAACATAAATCTCCTCCTTCCATGCAGGAACTGCACATACTCACATCCAGTTGGACGCTGCTCCAGCACGTGGCAAGAAGTGTCACAACTGTAACAAAATGAACCACTTTGCAAGTGTTTGTAAAGCTCCGCACAGTGATAATGAGAATGGAAACCCAAGAAGCAGAGACAGGAGACATGAAAAGCAAACAAAAAGAAAGGCAAAGCGAACAGTTCATGACATTGATGAAGAATATTATGAAGACTCTGATAGTGATACCGACAGCTTTCTATTCATAGATTCCCTAGAGGTGGATGGAATTGAGGAGTCGCCACTGGAAGCATATGCCACCCTACTTGCAAACAATGAGGAAATAAGGCTTAAAGTTGACACAGGTGCCAAATGTAATGTCTTACCACTATCCTGGTTCAAGAAGGTGAGAGACAAAGAGAAAATCAGCAAACAACACATAGTAACATTGGTCAGCAATGGAGGGAGTTCCTTGAAAACATAGGGAAGAACCCAAATCAAGTGTAGATTCAAAGATAGAGAAGAGCTGCTAACCTTTCATGTCATAGAACAACAGCTCAAGCCTATAGTAGGACTACTTGACAGTGTAATGCTTTAAGCTACTATCCTTCGACGAGGATGTATACAGTGTGTGTGAACTAACAATGAAAAACACACAAAACTATGAACCACTGACCAAGGCACAGATTATGAAGGGATACCCTACTCTCTTCGGACGGAAGACTGGGGAACTTACCTGTAGAATACAGTGCTGAGCTGGACCCGACATAGTACCTGTGATCAGGGCACCTAGGCGCATTCCTGTGGCAATGCAGGACAAAGTCAAGCAGGAGTTAGACTCAATGGTGGAACAAGGAGTGATCACACCAGTGACTGAACCGACGGACTGGGTCTCGCCTATGGTGATAGCAAAGAAGAAAAACACAGACAAAATAATGGATTTGTATTGATCCAATTGACCTCAACAAGGCTTTGAAGCGACAACACTACCCCATGAGGACAGTAGAAGAAATCATAGCAAGAATGCCCAAGGCGAAATTCTTCACCAAGCTAGATGCATCGGGATTCTGGCAGATTCCATTATCACATGCAACATCAATGTTGACGACGCTCAATACCCCATATGGACGTTATAGATACCTAAGAATGCCGTTTGGCATCACATCAGCCAGTGAAGTGTTTCAGAAACACATGGACAGTCTATTCAGTGGTCTACCATGTGAGGTATAATGGATGACCTACTAGTTTGGGGAGAAACAGAAGAACAGCGTGACAATAACGCCATCAGAGTACTCAACAAAGCCGGATGAAATAGGCCTGAAACTGAACCCGGACAAGTTCCACTTCAAAGAAAAGGAAGTGAGCTATGTTGGTCACATACTGACAGCTGAAGGTGTCAGACCTGACCCTGAGAAGGTCCGAGCAATTGTCAATATGCCAGAACCTGAGGGATTGCCATCACTGCGTAGATTCCTAGGAATGGTTACTTACCTGGCAAAGTTCATTCCCCATCTCAGTGAGTTGGCAGCACCACTGAGAGAGCTCTTAAAGAAAGAGACTACATGGGAGTGGTCCTCCAAATGTAGGACAGCAACTGAAGCAATAAAGAAAGAAATCAGCAACTCAGCTACCCTGAAATTCTATGATGTTACAAAGCCTGTCACTCTAACATGTGACGCCTCCAAGAGTGGATTGGGTGCAGCAATAATCCAGGAAGGACATCCAATAGCCTATGCGTCCAAATCCATGACGAAATCACAAACAAACTATGCTCAAATCGAGGAGTTGTTAGCAATCCTCTTCACCTGTGAGAAGTTTCATGATTACATTTATGGCAAAAGAGTTACAGTTGAAACAGACCATCAACCACTCATTACCATATGCAAGAAACCACTGTTTGCAGCACCAGCAAGGCTACAACGATGCTACTAAAACTACAGCAGTATTCCATTGATCTGGTATACAAGAGAGGGAAGGACTTAATAATTGCCGACACACTCTCACGAAGCATACTTAGAAGATACCTCTAACAATGAAGAAGAGTTTGAGGTATTGACAGTTCTGCCCATGACAGAACAGCTTTTAACAGAGCAGCTGCAACGGAAACAGCCGAAGATCAACTAATGCAACTGCTGAGCCGTTACATATACTCACGGATGGCCAGAATACAGAAAAGATGTACACCCAGATGCCAAACCATATCACTCATTCAGGGACGAGCTCGCTGAATACTCAGGAATTATATACAAAGGCTGAGAAGATTGTGGTACCTCCAAGTCTGAGGACTGAATACATGGAACAAGTACACAAAGGCCACATCTCAGCCCAAGCATCCAAGAAGAAGGCTAGAGAGTTCCTATATTGGCCAGAAATCAACAATGATATAGACAGACTTACCACACTGTGCCAGATTTGCAACAGCTGCAAAACACACCAGCAGAAAGAGCCGCTTAAAACAACACAGTGTTCCAGAGAGACCCTGGCAAGCTGTAGCAACAGACCGTTTTACATGGAAAGGAAAGAATCATCTTGTGTTAGTTGACGCTTTACTCCGGATGGTGCGAGATCAACATACTAGACACCACAGTTTCAACCGCTGATACTCAGGAAACTGAAAAGCCATTTCGCTTCGTTTGAATACCAGATGCACTATATTCGACAATGGCCCACAATACACCTCAACAGAATTCTCTGAATTTGCATCAACCTGGGGTTCAAGCACAAAACCAGCAGTCCTAATTACCCACAAAGCAACGGACTTGCAGAACGCCAGTGTGAGATCAGCCAAAAGCCTTCTTGAGAAGTGTGACATGGACAGAACAGACCCATATCTAGCAATACTGAATCAGCGCAACACACCAAGAGATCCAATTTTGGGATCCTCGGCTCAACGACTGATGGCGAGACGGACTAAAACACAGCTCCCCATGTCAAAAACACTACTTGAACCTTCTCTCAAGGATCCACAAGTAATCAGAAACAGGCTGCTGAACATCGGACAACATCAAAAACAACAATACGACAAAACAGCAAAACCACTGGGACAACTCATTCCAGGTGACAAAGTTAGATTACAGTCAGAAAACTAGGAGTTGTAAAAGACATGCATGACACACGAAGGTCCTACATTGTTGAATCGGATGGCAGAACATACCGGCGCAACAGAAGACACCTACTTCTAATGCCTGAAGATATCAAGAAGAGACAATGCTACACATCTCCACAACAAAAACAACAGATAGAACCAGTGCAACCACAACAAAAGCATCAGCTGGAGGAGCAAACACCTTCCAAACCATCGCCAGTGAAATCGCCCAGCAAACCACCACCTGTGAGATCACCCATCAAACCACCACCGGTGAAATATCCAGCAACGACGTCGCCAAAGTCCCACACCGACCACACATCCCCAGCTGCAACAAAACATACTCTAACAAAAACGAGGAGTGGAAGAATAGTGCAACCCAACCCAAGATATGCATATTAAACAGAAACAGACACTGTTCAACAGCTGTTCAAAGACTGTGTTCAACGCTCCAGTTATGTTAATGAAGAGTTTGATTTGAACTTTAAAGTTTACAGTCGTTCCTATCATAAATTGTGCTTGGTGCTAAACATAACTGTAAAAACAATTTAAGCAATGTGACCGAGAAAGACATTAACAGTCCATGGTTTCCCTATCATGGCCACTAGTGTATGCTAGTCAAAACAGAACTCTGCAGATAAACTTGCCAAACAACAAGTGCCAAGTTTGCTATTATGTTCAAGCATAATCGCAAATCTCATCGTCAGTTTTCTAACAGCCCTCTTACTGTATGATTCTATATTATTCTTACAATATTGTAAATCACTTAAAAAGAAAGGGAGATGTAGAATCCATATTCCGGTCAATTGACATTCCATGTTATACATTAATGCATGCCAAGTTTTAGTATACACTGAGCCTCGCTGTCGTCTCCCACATGGCCGCAACCAGAGCGAGCCATTATGTAACATGTCTGAAAGCATTAAACAAGAGAGCACGACACTCATCGTTTGTACCAATCTTACAGGTAGTACCATCAGTGGTACTTCACACAATAGGTTTCTGTAGTCATAGTGGGTAAGAGTTCCGCCTGTAACTTCCACTTGAAATGTATTCTATTTATTAGGATTATTTCGAGGGGATGAAGTTTAGGGTTAGTTTTTTTTATAAAAGCCATAGGCCTATATTGTTAGGCAGAGAATGATTTTAAAAACTCCGGGGTTATGGGGAGAAATCTTTCCTGATATTGTTTGCTATTTTAATACCTTCCACACTTTGCTTCAACCATGCTCACAAAATGCTGTAAAATTAACATGCTACTAAATGTTGATTCAACCGAAAAGATCTGGTGAAAATAAGTTACTAAAGTGCAGCACAATGGAGACGTTAATTTACATTAAGATAAAATGAAGTTGTTTATAATTTCGTTCTGCTTACATCCATACGATACAATGGGTGTGGGTTGGGTTACTAAATGGCAGAACTACCACTACCAGAGACCATAGCAATGACACATATCTATGTATGGTCCCAGGGACACATAAAAAATCAACACTAACAATGATTATGTTCAATATGTAAAGTACCTGTCGGTACATAATCCACATCGTCGTCGGAACTGTAATCTTCTTCGTCTGACATCTCTTCTCTGTCAGCCACAATTCTAATCCGATTTCCCCCCTAACACTCCGTACAATGGCGGAAGAGGGCTTGGTGATGGGTTATCTCCCTTGTGCCCGCAATGCGGCCGCAGTTTTAAGAATATTAGAATGAAGTCTCTGAGAATGTGTTCTTTATTGATGATTATTTATGACTAGTTATCACATAAAAGTCTGAATTAAACAAAGCCACTCAAAAAGGTTGTGAGTTTTAGTGTCACTAATTTTTCCATGAAACATACATCTTGTTTGCGGACCTTTATGAGACTTGGTTCGTTTCGGTTCCGCTGTCATAAAAAGGTACATTTGTCCGGGTTTTATTTACTTCCGGCTTCAAAGCTCTGTCTCTTGTTTGTATTGATTACATGCTTTTCGTCGCCGTGGACGTTGTTGTGAAATATGGAGACCATAATCCATCAGAGTAAAGTGTTCATTGAAATTACTTGAACTAAACTTGCCATGAGAATGTCTCAGTGTTACGCAGGCTTTGAAGAAGGAAGTCGACTGTCACATAGCCACTCCACACACTGTGAAACAGCAATGTCAGTGATGAAAAATGTAGTCTTTTAGGCTGATTCCACTTTGTCCAAGTGCATTTTATTGTCGGTTGTTACGCATCAATATATTGTGATGACGGCTACAAAAGATTTTCAAACGGACGAATTTGTTTCAATTCTGAGTGTCTTGTGGCTCTCTGCAAACGACCTGGACAGTTTTGGAGGTGAGAGTGTGTTTACAGTATTCATGTTGCGTTGGGGGTGTTTCACGGTCAGCAATGAACCAACGAGTAACTTTGCAGTAAAACATGTAAACAAAACATGTAAAAAAACCTTGTTAAGCATATAAACAAAAGATCAAACATCATTTACATTTATATATCAGTTCTTGGATAGCGGCAGGACAGGGTATAAATTTATAAGTTATCCCAAGACGAGCTGAATTCGACGTTCTGGTGATTTCGACGATTGCATTGCTCGCGCTATATCGGGTGAGTAAGTGCGCGATCAGAATCCACAAGCAGTTTCATCGGTAGGGCGGATGCCCAGTCGCTGTCGTGAGAAGTTTTATTGACAATGGAAATTCAGAAGATAAGTTATATAAAATGCAAACAAACATCAGTATTATTTACCCCAGATCGTTAATACCACTTCAGATGCAAATTCAATTGCCTACAGAACAAATAAAAGCAAGCGAAATTTCAGTAAGATCAGTCGTCTGCTAGTGATAGGCAATATATAAATGGGAAGCCGCGTGATCACAACACGCCCTCGCAGTGCGGAGCGAAAAGTATGGCTCATCGTTGAAAACCCATACAAAATACCCGGATGTGGAGAGTGGCAACAGTTTTGCCGATATAATGTCATCAACGCTGTTTTGAAAGATTCATCCTAATAATTGTGAGTGATTTGTCTATATGCACCAAGCGTATGTGAAAAAAATTAAATTTGTGTCTGACTAACCATGCTAACCCTCACTTGCCCAAGACCGCCTCTCCGTGGTGTAGTGGTTAGAGCGTCCGCCCGGAGAGCGGAAGGTCGCGGGTTCGATCCCCGACCGCGTCATACCAAAAAGACGTTAAAATATGGTACTTGTTGGGCCCTGCTTGGCGCTCAGCATTAATGGGTACAACAAGGGCTGGTCGGCTCGGAGTCAGTATAATGTGTCTGAGTGGGGTATTCATGCTTCACTGCGGCATGGTATCTCAGTGGGCTAGCACTATAAAACCAGCTTAAGTCTGGGCTAGTACAAGCAGCCGCACATACACATGCACATGCATGCACGTCGTCATATGAGCGAAATATTCTCAAGCACGACGTAAAACCCAATTTCACCTCACCTCACCTCACTTGCCCAAACAACAACAACTTTGCACACACAGTACCTTTTAGCATTATGTACCATACAACATCACTAATCCCTGTGTTATGTCTAATTTGTCATGCTCCCTTTGGCTTCTCACCATCAAACTCTGGTGGTTACACTAAGTGCACATATTCTTATTACATCTTATTTCAATACATCATTAACTTTTGTGAAAGTCATGACACAGTCATCAGATATCTGAGCTTATTTTCATTTTGGCTTGTTAATGCATCTATGTTTCAACTTTAGAAAATTTGATGGGACCTGGGGCTCCTTTCACAAAGTAACCTTTACTAAGGTTAACCTTAACTCCCATTCTTTAACATTGCAATAAGGTTACCTTAGTGACTTACGATCACCTTAGTGCTTTGTGAAAGGAGGCCCAGAACGCAATATGTTTAGTACATGAACCTGGTGCAAGTTATATCTAGTTCCTCAAGTCAAGCAGTGAAAACTTGGATATGGTTCCCATACTGAAGTATCGCATACTAGCTGTTGTTATCATGATTGTACACCACTGTGGTAAAAGACATATACTCCAGGTGAAATATATCCCGGTGTCAGGGGTTTTCGATGATGTAAGACAAAAACGTAATTTGTATCTTTAATATCATTTTACCTGTGAAGGTCCGGGTTAGAATGAACCTTCAGTAACCCATGCTTGTCGTAAGAGGCGACTAACAGGATCGGGTGGTCAGGCTCGCTGGCTTGGTTGACACATGCCATTGGTTCCCAGTTGCGCAGGTCGATGCTCATGCTGTTGATCACTGGGTTGTCTGGCCCAGACTCAATTATTTACAGACCGCCACCATATAGCTGGAATATTGCTGAGTGCAGCGTAAAACTAAAGTCACTCACTCACTCATTTAATATCATTTTAAGTTTTTATTTTACTAACCCTGAGTAATGAAGGATATATTCATCTATTTCACACAAAAGTATTAAGTGTTTCCCACAAACAATAGTTTTGAGAACAGGACAGCCTGTACCGACAGAAATTTGTGCCCATACTTTCAGTGGCCTCGTACCCAAATGTTGGACGTACCCCCTCATATCAAAGCACATGGATGACTCTAACCTGAAAAAGGGATTATTGAAAACATATGAATGTTGAAATGCAAAATTGATAAATGTTTTCTAGGTAAATGAATGAAGGTTTGATGTGTATAATGAATAAATGTATTTTTGTGAATGGATAGTGCTGAGAATAAAGTGTTATCACAGTACTTAATAAATTATTATAGGAACAGTCAATATTTTCGTCATTTAATGTGGTCTGTACTGGTTAATGGAATCCAGGTTCAGGCCTTGAAGTACCCGAGTATCGGTCATCTAATTTGGGTGTGAATCATCTAAAATTTGGGTACGATTCATCCAAGTTTGGGTAAGGGCTGACAAAAATGGTATGAGTGCTCCAAAATGGGTGTGAATCTAATGAGAATTTTAGATACGAGTTAGCCATTTCCATCGGGTAAGAATCTCCATGGATACAGATGGTCTACTATCCATAGGTTGTAGTTTTATTTACTTGTACTGACTTGAACTTGGGAAGCAACATAATCAATTACTATAGAGGCGATGTCTCCTCGAGGGAAATTAGTCCTATTGAAAATAGTAGACAACACATCATTTAGGGTAAATGGCATATTGTGTAACTGATGTATAATACGCCAATTTGTGGTTACCCCTAGCGTGATTATGACACACTTGTGTTCCTCCCCAAACATTTGAACTTTTTAACTTTTAACACACGTTTGAAATGTGGGCAGTATACTATTGTATTTTGGAACTGCAGTGAAAGTGAGCAACAATCATCTTGCTGAACATGTGAAGCTGTTCATTAACTTAATTAAACAGAGAGAATATCAGGAATTAACTTATTCATTACCCAACAAATAAACTTGTATGCATTTTGTTTGTGTATGTAAGTTAACCTTTTTGCAAAAATGTTTTAACTTCTCTTTCACTAAGGCCTTAGCCATTACAAAATGAGTAATATGTGTAAATATACACTGTTGGCCTTTTAACAACAAAACTTTCTATTCAACTGAAACATTGTCTATTGTCTACCTCTGTTCATGCCTTTATATTAGATGAAATGGTTTTAACAAACATTAACTTAACTAGAATTTGTTCCTGATATCATTTTGTGATGAAGTCGCCATTGTTTCAGAAATGTGGTACCAAATCTTCTTGTGGGCCCTGTTCTCCTCCATGTTGGTCCATGTCATAGCATCCCTCATTGCTGTGTGCAGACTGAGGAAGCACAAACTAGGCCGGTGGATTCCAGTCGTGATTGTGGCAATGGGAGTCTTATCTCCTCTAACAGGCGGTGTCGTCACAAGTAGGTCTTACACACCATTCATGCAGTTAACAAAGTTATCATCATGAACATATGTATGTCTTCTCTAGATAAGTTCTGTTTTAATCAGATAATTATTCATAACACAAACCTAAAATGAAAAATTTGATACTATATAATTAGGAGATACACACACTGAGGTTTCAGAGTAAGAACTGCAACTGAACAGAGTAGGTTTATACCCATTCTACCATTATTGTTGTTGTCATTATCATAACAAACTTATCCAGAATTGGTGAAATGTTGTTGTCACCCGACCAGTAGTTAAATATGCTTTCCAATTATCATTCTCTACTTATGATTCATCATGTTCAGAATTTTATATTGTTCTAAGTATTTATTTTCATTGTGAGGAAGTAATCTAATCATCTCAGATGTTTTGGAAAATTCATGACAGAACCATGGTAAATTGGCATCCTCTTCTTTCAATATTTCTGTGAAAATGGTTAAAATAATTCAGGTCACAATAGATTGAGTGTTACTTTCGTTTCAGCACTATTCAGTATTGCTGTTTTATTCATGAGTAAATGATCAAATAGACAGTGAAGGTCTGTAATTCTGTTTTATTCTCTGTTGTAGGTGCTGTAATTGCAGGAGTGTTCCGAGCTTCAGACTTTGTCATAACACCATTCTATGCCCTTGTGTGTGGAGTGGGTCAAACTATCATTGTCATGTTTATATCCTTCACAAGGATCCTGGCTACATTGTGAACATCATACAGCAGAGTGTATCTGATGCACATGGGTGCTGCTTAATGAAGGGATAGCGATACTGGTTCACACCTGGACGTGGAGAACAGCTTAGTGAAAACTAATCCTAGTGCAGGTAATGTGATAACACCTGCTTCAGTATTGTGAAGTGATGTCTCAGTGTCTGATAAACCTGGAGGTGCACTTGACAATGTTGTGAATTGGACATCCATATTCCAAATGACTGAACCTTAAAGCCTACTGTTGGAGTTGTAAACAGGTTATCCTGTTTATCTTGACAGTGTGGCATTAGGATGTGATCATGTGACTCCTCTCTAAGGTAGAGGTAGTCTCTTAAACATGGGTTAATGAGATGAACATTTTAGTCCAAATCACGTCAGTTGTATCTGGAGAAATTTCCAGAACTAGCATGGAGAAGAATTCATAATATATTGGGAAGTGATGATGGTGAAGGTGAAGTTCTTGTACAGTGTACACATAGTTGTTGTTCCAGATGAATGCAAGTGTAGAAAGTGGAAGTGAATGGATGCTTGTATAGTGAATAAATATCTGTAATAAAGGCGTTGTGATTTTATAACTCTTGTTTCCTTCCATGTGAAGGATGCAAACATATCATCAAGGATGGGGGTTGACACATAGGAGACTCCATGGCAGTGACCAGGAATGTTTAGCAGTGATCCTGGTGATAACACAATGGAGAGTGATCATTTGATCCACACAAAGGTGACAGTTAGCAGTATTGTATATTAACAAGACCTCCACAAGATCAGAGCCAGTTCTATGCTCTCACGGACTCTCTAAGGATCAAAGATTGAGCCAGACACATCCCAGCATGAGGGACATGGTCACCGATGTCCCAGGATCTTCTGTCTCTTATGGTGTGGCAGCTACATTCGGATGTCTTACTGATGTCCCAGGATCTTCTGTCTCTTATGGTGTGGCAGCTACATTCGGATGCCTTTCCGATGTCCCAGGATCTTCTGTCTCTTATGGTGTGGCAGCTACATTCGGATGTCTTACCGATGTCCCAGGATCTTCTGTCTCTTATGGTGTGGCAGCTACCTTCGGATGTCTTACCGATGTCCCAGGATCTTCTGCTTCTTATGGTGTGGCAGCTACATTCGGATGTCTTACCTATGTCCCAGGATCTTCTGTCTCTTATGGTGTGGCAGCTACATTCGGATGTCTTACCTATGTCCCAGGATCTTCTGTCTCTTATGGTGTGGCAGCTACATTCGGATGTCTTACCGATGTCCCAGGATCTTCTGTCTCTTATGGTGTGGCAGCTACATTCGGATGTCTTAGCTTGGTAATGCCAACAAATGGGGGCTCTGGTAGATTTGCAACCACACATGATACTCCACTGCCCAGGTTTGTTGCTGATCCTGGGTACAAGATTATGGTGCCATCTCATGGAAGGATCTGTTGGCCACACTCTGTAAGCCCTTCTCTCTTGAATACCAGAGATAACAACACCCTATGACATGCTGTCTAGGTGTCCTCAGATTTTCATGCAGTGAAGTATTGTATCTGTGTAAAAGATTTTACACTATTTGGATTGGGTAACATGTAAACAACTAATTAACCAAAAAGCATCTCACTTGGCAGTATTTATTTCATGTACTTAGATAACATCACATGACATAATAAACAATGCATGAGACTGGAAGCTGTAACAACAGAATAAGATATGCTGTGTCAAAATATGGACATCCATTATTACCAACAGACAAAAAACCTCTCAAGTCTAGACAATGTCTTGAAAGATAAGTCTTCAGAACTGAATATTTGAGATTGTTATGATCTGTAGGTGAATAACAAATAATTGGAACAAAATCTGATTTGGTTGCACAGGGTTATTTGCTGTTGGGATGGTAAAAATATTTAACTGAATATTTGACAATCTTATGATAGATGGTAATAATACTACCAGTAAATAACACAGGCCCTCGTGTCTTTGCGAGGATTAAAGATCTTAAAAATATAAAACATTTGAGATGACCCCCTGACATGTGACATGTATTTTATTGTGAGGCATTTCGAGTCGGGGGTCATCTAAAAAAAATTTGTTTTCTTAATCTTTAATCTTCGCAAAGACACAAGGGCCTGTAGTAAATAATGGTCATGCTAATATTAACAAATACATTTTAGAGCTGATGAAAAAAAGGTATTTTTCAACATAATTATTTTCAAGCTCTAAATAATTACTATGATCAATGTTTTTTGTTCCAATTAGTAACTTTGTCACATGCTATGACTTTCAGTACAAATATGTGCTGTGGCAGGAATGATTGGCTATGTAAATAAAACAATTTCCTTATCCTGACTCATGCTTATTTGCTTTCTCATCCTCTCTTCCAAACGGTCAAGTGGAAACTTGAATTCCTCCAATTCCCTTGAAGCGAACATACAATTCCTCTCACCCTGAATTACCTACCTTCTCCCGCCAAAACTGGCACGTGTCCTCACCATGCCTTGCTCCTCACTCTCTCCTCTATCGCCCAAGCGGACGGTTGTGCGGTCACTTCGCGGCTTATAACTTCAAATATTTTGGATATATAGCACAAATTCTGCCGTGAATGTGTTTCTAAATATGTTGTTTATCATATTTATAACAAAATTTGTACGTTTTGTCAAATTGATCCACAATTTCACTTCGTTCCAGGTGACTGTTTTTTCAAAGTAAACAACAGTCCATCACGTCTCAACGCTTGATTTACACCCTGGGTGTTCTTCTTGGCTGGTATACGGTTTGAATATGCCTTGATGTTTGATTATTGTGTATAATCATGTGTATATATTGAATTTATGACTTCATATATATATATATCTGTTGAATTGTCAACTATCTGACTTATACACATTTTTCACATGTGATTGAAAAATTTGAGACTAAAGTTATACAACCTGTTGTCAGATTCAACCAGCCGGCGTGAGAAGGTGATACAGTCTTGAGTGCTGTGAATTGCTGCGACTACGTCTTGAGAGCTGTGCTGATCTGCGACGTCACCAGTAGGGGAGAAGTCTACCCCACGTACTGTAAGAAAAAGGAAGTCCCCGCAGGCAGAGACGGCATAAGAAACACAGGGCGGCCTCTTCAGGGAAGCAGTCCATGTCATCCAGGCATTCATCTAGATCTCCCACTCTACAAGATCTTTGAGGTTGTTGTTGCATAACCCTATGCAACGATCTTCAACAGATGTTGGGGCGCCTGGTGCTGAAGAAGATAGTTCCAGTCCTTTGGGACCTCCAGTGTTGCAGCCGGAGGTCTTCCCTGCAGCGTCGCAGAGAATATCCAGTGCTGAGAACTTGTCAGCGCAGATTAGAAGTATAACGTCGCCAATGTCATCGTTGCAGTCTACCCCTGGCAGTGATGCTGTGAGATCGTCGAAGATGTTACATCTTCCTGTTGGCAGTCTACCGCAGCCGTTGCAGCAGAAGCAGATGTCAGCTGAGAACCCGTTGGCGTTTGAGAACGCTACATCGTCAGCGATATCGACAGACGAGTCAGTTGGAGTCATACCCGCAGCAGCGTCCGATTACGAACGCAGAGGTCCTCAACGTTGAAGATTTTGCTGACACCATCACCCGTAGGGTGATTCAGGCTGTGGAGATGAGGCTAGAGCGGGAGGAGAAGCAGACGGTTCCTGAGAACAACGCTGCAGAGGGCGAAATGATGGCAGACATTGCAGACCGGTCCTTTACTAGCATCTCTAGTCAGAGCCTAGCAGTTGAGCGGGAGCAACCTACAGAAGATGATGACTTTGTCTTCACTGATGCAGAGGTGCTGGCGTGGGTGGCTGATGGTCTCCCGATATCGTCTCCATCCAGAGACTCCAATCCGGCAGAGACGTACTGCATGAAGGAAGATGACTTTCGAGTCGATCACCATACCACCGATGAAACCCATTGCACAGGTGGCAGACAACCTAACAACAGCCTTTGCGAAGGCTTCGAAGACACAAGGGCAGCATACTCCGCAGTTCAGCACTAGATGTTTCCGGCATAATAACATGCACCACTTGACACTGATGAAGATTTCTACCTTGTCTCAGACTCGAAGACTCGCAGTTACAAGGTGGAAGACAAGAAGTTGGCGCAGCTTGATACGACAACCCGTAGGGCGTTCTACGGGTTAGCAAGGTCCAGAGCCATCAACGAAGTGCTGGTGTGTGCTTTCAAGCATCCTAAGACGGAAGAAGGATGATCCGGTCTACACTAGTGTTACAGTGCAAGGATCAGGAGTTTATCTCCGATCACTTGGCCTCAATGTCGGCGGGCATCACACTACTACATCGTCAGGGGCTGCTGAGTTCCTCTACATGGCCAGATGTCTACACCAAGCCTTTACTCTGAAACCTTGGGCAGCGCCTACACTGTTTGACGGCGGCATAAGGCAGTTGTCGCGTGAAGTATCTCAAGAATCCAAGGACTTGATGTTGATCAAGTCGGTCCAGACAATGAACACCATGGTGCGTCAATCAACTCAGCGCAGTCAACTACGATCCTGCTTCTCAGGTATACAGAGGTCCAAAGAGAAGAAGATCCCGTCTACACGTGGCGGCAACTCGGGATCTTTTCGTCGCCTAAGTAATACTACTTGGGCGTTGACCAACAACCCGTTGATCTTCAAGTATCCGCAGCTACAGCGAAACAAGCTCACTGAGACTATCGAGATGTTATTGACGAAAGGTGCGGTAGAGGTCGTCGATCAATGCAGACTCACGCCCAGGTATTCCTCTCCAATTTTCCTAGTACCCAAAAAGAACTCCAAAGAGAAGTTTTGATGCTACATCTACCTCAGCTGAGACATCTTATTCGACCCAACGACTTCATGGCCAGCATAGATCTGCAAGATGCCTACCTACATATCCCGATGCACTCAGAATCACGGAAGTACCTGCGATTCCTGTTCGAAGGGCGTCACTACCAGTGGAAGGTCCTGCCCTTTGGAATTGCGTCGACCCTGTGGTTATTTACGCGGATACCCAAACGATTGATACCCTTATCTCCATCAGAAGGGGCTACGCAGTGCCTTCTACCTAGATGACAGCATCCAGGCACATCAAGATGCATATCAACTCAGATTACAGCTGCAGTTTACGATCAACCTGCTGACACAGTTGGGCTGGCTTGTGAATCCTCAGAAGTCGGAGCTGGAGCCGACCCAAGATCTAGAGTTCCTAGGCATCAGATTCCTGATGTTAGAGAACCGCATCCTGGTACCAGACGACCGATCGCAGAACATCCAGTCGTGCATACCAGACGCCCTCAACTCTACACTAGATTTAAGAACCTGGCAGCGACTCTTGGGTCTACTGACGTCGGTGCAGGCTCTCACACACAGAGGAAGATTGCAACTTCGACCGCTACAGAGGTTCCTGATAGCTCATCTAGACGATGTCCAGAAGTTTGTCATCCCACAACATCTAAAGCAGTACCTGCTTTGGTGTACAGTAAGATCGAATGTTTGTGGCGGAACCTGTTTGAGAGGGCCAAATTACGACCTTCATCTCTATGTGGATGCGTCCCTCCAAGGCTGGGGGGCACATCTCAACAACG